TTGTGAGCTACTGTTTTCTGCCCAAATCAGGCTATATCTGGAGTATTATGTCCATTTTTAGGCACAACGTATCAGGACATTAGGTGGAATGTACCAGGTAGAGGTGTGGCAAGTATAGTAATGGATCTTCAGAATGGGCAATATGAGGAGTGCTTCTGTTGGAAGACCTCAGGAATGAGAAGGTGATGTAATGACAGCAATCATACTGGAGAGGGTTTCATTCAGTTTCAGAAGCAGAGACCTTCGCCTCTAATAGTTTTATTGTTAAGCCCTTTTGTGAAATTACCCTTACCTCCCTTCCAAAGCCTCAGCCTGGCCTTTTAATCTTATTCAAACGTACCTGTGCCCCTGGCCCTAAAAAAAACCTGGCTTCAGTTTGTCTACCAGTCCCAGGAAAACCTTAAAGTTTTAGAAACTGTCTTATTTCCCTTTGAAAGCTCTCTTTATCTCCCTTTGAAAACAAACTTCTACCTTTCAGCTCCCTTCATTATCTATTCTCATTGTTTATTACCTTCCAAACAGACCCAACTAACCCCCCTTCCTCTGGCCACCCTTGATCCTAGCTAGGCGCCACGAGGTCCAGGACCCAGGAGTTCTGTTCACCCCAGCTTACTAGCCACTCCCATCCAGATCTCCCTAGGCCCTTCCTCCCGGTCATCCCAAACTACTTGGCCACTGCTAGATCCCTCCCACAGTCTTTCTGTACTTAAGATCCACCTTTGCCCCCATTCAAATGCTGAGCTGTTCTGTCGCCTAGAGGCTGAGACTCTCATGCGGCTGGTCCTTACTGGCCTATCACCTGGCTTAACATCCACCTGACCACCTTAGCCCCCATTCAGAAGCTGAGAACCTCTCACACCCAGAGGCTGAGACTCTCATGCCTGCTCATCCTCACGGATGTGACCTGGCCTATATATGACTTATCTTTAATAAACTTTTTCTCTGGCTGGAAGAAGATTTGGGTTGAATTCATTCAGGCAGATCCACGTCACAATCTTGGGGTTCAGCACCCTAAAACCTCTACACCTCTTCAATACTGTCATGCAAAAGAAAGATTAGTCTTGTTCCGCTTGGTTCCAGAGGGCAAAACCAGGAGTAATAGACATAAGCTAAAAAGAGGCAGATTTCGGTTTAGTATTAGGACCAATTTCCTGAGAATGAGAATGGGTTGCATTGGGAGGTGGTGGTGGTGGTGGGGTTCCTCTTTGGGAGTTTCCAACCATGGGTAGCAGTTATCTTGGAGCTCTTCAGACAGAGTGGGAAGAGCACTTGTTGGATATGATGTAGAGAGGTTTCTTGTCCTTGCATGATTTGCTTTGCATGGCCACTATGGTTCCTTCCAGTTCTGAAAGTCACATACACAAAAAGCAATTTAATTTGTTGGGGATTTTATTTTTTTTGTCTTTGAGAGAGAAGTAGAAAAACACTCTTCTCATTGTCTCTTAAAATAAAGGCTAGGGAATATGTAATTCTTTTTAATAAATATGATCCTATGACATGGAGCTAATAATAAAAAATATTTTATTTCTATCCTAAGGCCAATTAAAGGCAATTTTTGGCATAGTAAAAACAGTGAAGGACTTGGGTGCTGGAAGATCTAGGTTCTAATTCAGGTTTTGGATTAGTTGTGTGACTTTCAGTAATGTATTGAATATCTTTGGGTTTGCCTTCTTTCAGCTGTAAAATGAATGTACTTAACTAGCTTCATTCATTCATTTAAAAAATCCTACACTATGCAAGACACTATGTTTGGGTCTGGAAGAGTAAATAAGTAAATAAGATTACTCCTTGACCTCGTGGAGATTGCAGGACCCCAATATGTATAGCTATAATATTCAATATTACACTAGAAGTACATCAGAGAGTTCCAAAACAAAGTGCTGTGTGAGATCTGAGTGAAAAGAAAGGAGAAAGGAGGCTAAGAGAAGGTTTCACGTAAGAGGTGACATTTAAATTGGACTTAAAAGGATGAACAGCAATTCAACACCTAAGACAAATGGAGGGCATTTCCATAGAGGAATTAGACTGAGCTAAGGTTCTGAGGCAAGAAATCACAAAAGTAAAGCATAGCTTGAGGGCAGGAGTAGACAATAGACCGTAGAATAGAGTAGATATTTAAGGTACTTTTAATCTCTAAGATTTTAAGAAAAAAGAAGTGGGAGGAGGAGGAGGAGGAAGAAGAGGAGGAGGACTAGGAGAGAAAGAAAGAAAAAGAGAGAGAGAGAGAGAGAGAGAGAGAGAGAGAGAGAGAGAGAGAGAGAGAGAGAAGGAAGATTAGGACATGAATAAAAGTAGGTAGACCTATAGATATATTTTCATAGAAACATATTGCAGCTTTTTTTTTTTAGACAACGAACCTCTAAAAAACCATGCAGATACGTTTGAACAATAGAGACAAATAGTTGCATATTTGCAACAGTAGACAGAAATGGTTATATTACCTTTTACCATGGACCAAATGAAATTGTCAGAATCTAGATGTTTCCCATTCTTGTTTTAGGAATTTTCTTGCTGAGATTATCACTCCATTTAATTTTTGATGGCTTTTAAAATGCTTCAAAATTCAAAGTGTTTTCCCTATTTTTCATTGATTTTGAGATGAATAGTTCAAGCATTGCCATTTAACATGTGAGAAGCTGAGCCTGAGAAATCTTGAAACAAAAAGATTATTCATATTTATTTTATCTTGAAGAAGATGAGAGGAGTAAAGATTTGTGAAGACATAAATTAGGGCAAAGCTCTCTTATCTTCTAAAGTTTAAGTATAGATGATAAGGTTAAGTTAGCTTTCTATGAGGTCAGATTTCTTTGTATATTTTCACCTTGTCCCCAGAGGACCATCCTAAGCAGCCAGGCTGATGATTTTGTTGTCCTCCAACCAGAATGGTTTAGGATAGGAAGGCTTCAACAAAGCAGGAAGGCAGAACCCCAAAATACCAGGTTCCAGGGCTTCTTTTACAAGAACAGACCTGTTGTCCTTTTCATATCACTTGCTTTAAATATATATTACACACACACTAAAATATATATTATATATATATATATGTAAAACTTTCAAACCTGTCCTGTTTGTCTGTGCTTCCTTTTGAACATTCTGCTATTTTCTTCCTTACATAAAAAGCAATGTTTCAGGGGCTCTTTTTTTTTTTTGCGGGGGCAGGGCATGATTATGGCTAACATTCCTTCCCTCTCCCATGAAAAACTGAGATAAAAGGGGACGGGAAACCTCTGTAATAAATAGTCAACTAAAATGAATCCATCGAGTAGCCATGTTCAAATGGATAAATCTCTTTGTGCCCATCACCTTGTTCTTAATTCTTTCAAAGTTATTTTTGTATTATGACTCCGTTTTGCAGATGAAGAAACTGAGGGTCAGAGATATTAAGTCATTTCACTATGCTTACTAGTCAGTCTTGGAACAGGATTAAGATTCAGGTCTCCTTACTTCAAGTATTGTACAAGGCTTTTCTACTCTCCCTCTTCTCCTATCTTCTTCTCCCGCCCCGCTCCCCAGTACCAGAATAAAATAAACATCTTAGGTTTCAGGAGCTAGACTTAATAAAGGAGGCATCAATATCCCAGGGAAATCCAGAGCCAGAGCTAAAAATCAGTAACCCTGCCCCTCCCCCAACGAGGATGGATGACTGGGGTCCTAAGAGATGATCCATGATTTAAGAGAGTAGAGGGGTTGGGGAGAAGCTCCCAACCTGTTGGACCAGTTGCTGTGGGTACCTGGAAAGTGCAAGGGGAGACTGACCATAACCCTGGAACAAGGGGTTATCTACTTGGGTCTTCCACCACCTGCCTCAGTGATTGGCCCACCAGCTCGGAGAAGCGGGGGAGGTGAGAGGTGGAATTAGCTGTGCGGATTGGGGTTCACGGCTGTCACTCTGAAAGGGTGGGGCTTTTAAAAAGATATCGCTGTTTTTAAAGGGGAAAAATCCATCTTTATGATGATAGTTCCTGATCCGATATTTGCCTGCTTGGAACAGAGAGCCCCTGAGAGGAGGAGGACGAGGAGGAGGAGAAGCTCAAGGCAGCTGGAGGAGGGCGCCCCTCTCTAGAAGCCAGCGGTGCCACCTCTGCTGCACATCTGTTCCGCATCAGGACCAGCCCCTCCCGCGTGCCTGGCTCCGGGCTCAGGAGCTACTTGTTCGCTCTACTACAAGGGGCTAGGCTGGGACTGGGACTGAGCCAGCGCGAGCCGGAGCCCCAGCCCGTGCAGGGCCGGAGAGGGTGAGGCGGGCCAACCAGCTGGCCTGTGGGAGGGGAGGGGCGCTCCGGCCCCAGGCAAACTTTGGCTCCCAGTAGCAGCGGAGGTGGCGGCGGCAGCAGCAACATCAGCAGTGGCAGTGGCAGCAAGCGCACGCCCTGTTTTGAGACGCGGCTAGGGGCGCGCCGGCATGTGGGCGCAGTGCCGGGCCGCCCCGGGCCGCCGCCGCCGCCGCGTGCGCCCGGGGCCAGCTGAGCCCCGGCTCCCGGGCTCCCCGGTTGCCCACTCCGGCCGACTCCAGGCGACCGCAAGCTAACCACCTCCCGAGCCTCCTCCAACTGGGGCTGGGGGCCACTTTGGGCCGGCCAGGCCCCATCCTCCGCCCCCTGCACACACTTGCATACACCCTGGAGCTGGAAACTGGAGACGCGGCTCCCTCGCCATCCCTCTCCTCCTGTTGCAAACTCTAGACTGATTGTTTTCTTTACCCCAGGGGAAGAGAGAGTCCTCGGGGCTAGGTTGGCATCCCCAGGGGCGAGCTGGGCGGTCTCTGAAGAGACTCCCAAAGCGGGCACTGTAGCTACCCCCGACTGCCTCGGGGCCATGGGGACTGTGTGCTCCAGGGAAGGCTCTGGGCTCCGTAGGCGCTTTTGCCGTTAGTAGCCTAGCCTCCTGCTTGTCTGCTCGGTCCTCGCTGGTTTGTTTGGGATGCCGTTCTACCCCGCAGTTAGCCTCTCAACCTAGACGGCACAGGGGAGGAGACTTGCCCGCCTGTCAGTGGTTCCAAGATGTGCCCGTCGGAGATGGGGACGTTGTGGCAGCATTGGTCACCTGTGCTCTTCAGCCTGGCCGCTCTGTTTTCCAAAGGTAAGAAGATGAGCCTGGTTGGGCCGGTGCCCTCGAGGAGCCGGGGCTAACTTTCCTCCAAAAGTGTGGGGGAGGGGAGAGGGGGGAGAGATTGGGTTGTCTCCACTTACCCCCATCCAGAATGTATGAGACTGAAAGAAAAAGAAATGTGTGTGTGTGTGTGTGTGTGTGTGTGTGTCTGTCTGTCCGTCTGTCTGTCTGTGCGTTGGGGATAGGAGGAGGAGGGACCGCTTGTTAAAGACAGAAACGTGTTCCGAATAAGGAGAGGGGATGTAGAGAACAGTAGAAATATGGAAAACACACGGTTGGTTCTCCATACCATTTCAGGAGAGAAGTGGGTTGGGGGTGGCAGAGGTCTGAGCCAGACTACCAGGGGTGGGAGCTCTACAGCGAGTCTTCTTGCAGTTGGGACTTTCACTGCCTCCACTGGGCCACCAGGACGTAATTTAAGAGCCTTCTCTCTGCAGGTTAATGCTTCTTATTACATCTTGGGATGTTACTGGTCTGCTATAAATATGAGTTAGTGAAAAAAAAAACACTAAGGAGAGTCCCTGAGAAAAGGCCCTAAGTGATTTTATTTGAGGGGGGTGTGTATACAGGTTCCCTTTGTATCTCTGTCACCAAATGCTTCCCCTATGATGAAGGATGAGTTGAGATGCTGTAACTTCTAGCTTGCGAGATCTTATCAGGGCCCCTAGCAGGGAACAGTGAGTAGATTCAGGGATTCCCTACTTGGAGTCCTTCCTTCTTCTCTACCTTCTTGTCTTACACTGGAAAAAGCAAGCTTCTCTTTCTAGGAGGGAATTATATCTGATGCGTGTAGTTTGTTCAGGGGGTATAAATGGTATATTGATTATTGACCAGAAGCTGTGATTTTTGTGTGTCTTCTTTCCAAGAACCCCCTTTCACCTGAGGAAATATCTCTAGGGAGGCTGAGAAGGCAACATTCATAGCAGTTTTAACTGAGTGGTGGAATCCTTCCGAAGGAGTGTTCTGTGAAGAATTGCACGCTGAGATTTCCCTTAGCAACTTCAAAGCCCATTACCCTGCACAGGGAATTTTAGTTACACTAATTGTCTATTAGCTGGCTATTGGAGAGGCAGGGATGTTGCTTATTTTGAGTCTGTTCAGATTGTAGCTGCTTGCTCGATAGCTTTTTATGCCCTGCTGTGTCTCAGGAGGGCAGCTGTGAAGCACCCACATTGTTATTCTGAGTTAAAACAATCTGAAAGACCAGACTTTTGAGTTGATTTATGCCATAAACTAGCTTCTACAGCAGAGATGGGTGTCTCCAAACCAGGCAATAATTTGGGGGAACAGGTGGCTAGGGAAGGCAGCTTGGCCCTCATAATACTTATATGTCTAGATAGCTTTAAGATAGACAAAACAATTTACTTACAACAGTGCTATGTGGTAAGTGCTATGGAAATTAACAGAATTGAAGGATGAGACTGTGAGTCCAGTTGTGTGGAAAACTCCCTTCATTGGTAGCTCTTATATTTGGGATTGGTGTGTAAGGAAGACTGGGCCAATATAGCTCCATCCCCAGGATTTGTATAACATTTTCTACCTGACAGCAAACTCTGTGGAAGAGATTCCAAGAACTGGTACAGTAGGTTTGTAGATTTAGAACAGAAAGGGACTTCAGAGAGAATTTAAAAGTGCCTACTATGTGCCAGGTACAGGACTAGTTGCCAGGGACTCAAAGATCCTATGTTCCTGGGTTTTGATTGGTGAGCATTCACCTTGTTTTGCACAATCTCAGGTCTATCATGCCTCTTCCTGGCCATCAGCTTGCCATGACATTCTGCATGTATCACATCCCCTCCTCCCCCGTCATCTTCCAGTTCTAGCTCTGAGAATAGCAATCATATCAATACTGCCATTCCTGGAATGGCCTGCTCAGTTCTTTACTCTGGATCTCTAATCACCATTCCTTCTGACTTCCCTGTTCAAAATATTCCTTCCTGGCCATCATTCCCCTATATGTGTTGGGTTCTCCTATTGCAATGCAATCTTCTTGACAGCTGTGATCATCCTACTTGTTTGAATTTGTGCTCCCCAACAATTAGCATGGTGCTTGGCATGTTGTAAATGCTTTTTTATTCATTCAACAACCCCTGCCCTCAAAGGGTTTACTTCTATTACTTTATAGTTACACTTCCTTCTATTACTTTATAGTTAATGGAAACTGAGGTCCAAGGGAGGTCATTTGACTTGCTGAAGGCAAGCAGATAGACAAATAGCAGATAGGGATTTATCCCTCGACTCTCTGACTCCAAATTCAGTTTTCTTTCCACTGTACCACTGGAAGATAAATCCCAGGGAGTTGCTTAAGGTTTGTATAGGATAGGTAAGTTGCCCAGGGTCTACAGTTATTATTATCCTATTTACAGATGATTAAACTGAGGCCTAGAGGTTAAGTGATTTGCTCATGGCCACATAAGCATAGGTGTCTCATGGGAGACTTGAACCCAGGTCTCCTGAATCCAAATTCAATACTCAATTCATTCTAATGCTGGATTATTTGCACAGGGCACAATTCTTTGTTGTCTCTTGCTTATTAATAGTAGTAGCCTTCTCTATTATATGTCACATTCATAGGGTTTAATTAAGAAAAGGTCTGAAGGTCTAATCACAAGGGACCCAACTAGTTTGTTCTTATCCTCTGACAACTATACTTTTCACCTGCTTTATATATTCAATAACAACTGAAAAGAACTGTATTCTCCAAAGATTTTCTGATTCCATCTAGTAGAAATACTAGGGACATATATAGAGCATAGTGTTCCGGTCTCAGTTGTCTGTGAGAAGTAGGATAATTGTGGTAAGAGCAGGGCATCTGGGATCAAAAGACCTGGTTTCTACTGCCTTCTGGGGTTGTTAGGAGAAAAGCACTAAGCAATGTGAAGAGAGCTCTATGGATCCCACAGTCTGGGTTGGAAGAGACTTCTGAATTCATTTAGTCTAAACTGTGCCTGATCACAATCCTCTCCATAATGTAGCTGAGGTATGGTTGGTCATTCAGCCTCTGCCATCAATCAATCAGTCAAACATTTGGTAAACACCTACTATGTGCCAGACATGAGGCTATCACCGCTGGAGGTAACCATCCCACGTTGGGACAGCTCTCAGCATTAGGAAGTTCTTTCTGATATCAAGCCTAAAATGGCCTTTTGGCAACTTCCATCCTTTGTCATGATTCCACCATCTGGGACCAAAGAGAACAGGGTGAATCCCTCCTCTTCAAAAATCTCTTCTGAATATTGAAGAGAAAGATCAAGTTTTCTCCATTACCTTGCCCATTTTTCTTTTCCAGATCAAGCAAATGTGAACTCTCATAGTTATTAGGCTACATGTTGGATTGGAAACTCATGAAAGACAGGGACCATGGCTTATACTGGCCATGTATATGTCTTTCCATATGTGTCTGAGAGCTACTCTGCTCTTGAGAGATTATATAATGTGGTAGAAATAGCTTAAGAGCTGGAGTAGAGACCTGGGTTCATATTGTTTAGGCCCAAGCTCTTCCTAGATGGTGACTATCCTTAAGTCACTTAATCTGTTTGAGTCTTAGTTACTTTCTCTGTCTAATGAGATCAGTTAGGTCTAATGGGCAGCTATGTGTTGCAGCGGATAGATTGCCAGCCCTGGAGTTAGGAGGACCTGAGTTCAAATGTGACCTTAAATACTAGCTGTGTGACCCTGGGCAAGTCATTTAACCCTGTTTGCCTCAGTTTCTTCATCTGTAAAATGAGCTGGAAAAGGAAATGGTAAACCACTCCAGTATCTTTGCCAAGAAAACCCCAAATGAAGTCACGAAGAGTTGGACACGACTAAGCAACAATGAGGTCACAATAAAATTGTGAATATTACCTTCCTATTCCTGGAAACAACATCTTTTTCAGTATAGCCCAAGATCACATGGTTGTCCTTAGCTGTCCTGTGAGTCATAGTGAGTTTGCAATCCACTAGAACCCTCAGATTTTTATGCAGAACAACTGCTGTCTATCCATGCCTCCCCATCTTATACTCGTGTATAGAGGAATTTTTGTATTCAAGTGTCAGATTTCATGTTTATCTCTATTGAATTTCTTCTAATTAGATTCATCTTAGGAAACCTGGTGGTGTAGTGGAGGGACAACTGGCCTTGGAGCTAGAGAAACCAGAGTTCATGCGCCACTTCTGACAAATTTTGGCTTGGACAAGTCACTTGATCTCTCCTTGCTCTAGGCAATTCTGTAACATTACAAGAGGCAGAGAAGACATCAACCTGCATTGGTAGAAAAAAGTTTTTTCATCTAGGAATGCCTTTATGTCAGTGAAATCACAGGTCCATTTCCTAAATGAAGTCCATTGCTCTAACTCGTCATGATTTGTTTCTGAATCTGACTCTTGGGATATATGGTGTTAGCTATCTCTCCCACTGTGTCATCTCCAAATTTGATACGTATCCTATCCATCCCTTATTCAAGTTATTGATTAGAAATGTTGAACAATGATGGACCAAGCACAGATCCCTGGGGCACTCTACTGACAACATCCTGCCATGTTGAAATTGAACCATCAAAACTGTTCTTTGAATTCATCCTTCCTACCAGTTCTCATTCCATCTAACTGTATTATTGGACGGTCCATATCTCCCCATTATCTCCGTAAGAGTGGTATGAGACAATTTTGCTAAAATGTTACTAAAATGTCAATAATTCATATCCACAATTTTTCCTTCATCTAATAATTTTGTAGCCCTATCCAAAACATGAAAAAAGGTTAGTCTCATATGACTGCTCTTGATGAAGCCATGCTGGCTGATTGTAATCCTGCAAAGAGGAGCCCAATTATTGGGTTCACCAGGATCTGTACCTTCATCTGTATGAACATTCTTGACATATCACCTCTCTGTGCCTTGGAAGATGGTATTAAGGATTTACTAAGGCAGAAAAAATTCACCACTCTCCCCAGTATGACCCAGGAGCAAGATATCAGAAATATGATATTCA